ACACACACACACACACACACACACACACACACACACACACACACACAGTGTTCTCTAAACTGTGCTTTCCCTAACATCTCAAGGATGAACTACGATAATAATCACCATCCATTTGATTGTGCACTTGCTGGGTGACAGGTCCCTATTTGTAGCTTTATACTTGTTTCTTCATTTAATTTTCGAATCCACCTGTTGAAGTAGCTACATAGAAACCTAAGAGACAGGGAAAGGAGACTTCCTCCCACAGCAGGAAGCTATGGGACCTCCTCTTTGGACCCATGGACCCTGTGCTTTGTTCCCCAGAAAGCTGACCTGCTACTGAGGAAGGAAATGGAGGCTAACCCAGGAACAGAGCGCCCCCCCCCATCCTGATACCCCAGGGCCCCCAGCAGAGGTCTTGGCACTGAATAGAGGATTGTTCTCCTTCTCTGAATGTTGATGTTTTGGGTCATTAAGGGGCTTGGAGATGGGGTGGGGAGTGGGTTATGACCCTGGCAAAGGCCTGAATAACCATTGTTCCTTTCTTTCCCCCTTGAATGGGATTCTGTCCCAGTCATGGTGTCTCCCTCTGGGTTGGAGGAGGGGGTAGGTCGGAGGCCAGGAAAAGGGAGTCTTTTCCCACCCCTTCCTCAGATAGACCTTAGGTTGGCAGATGCAGGAACCTGCAGCATCCCAGAGCCCTCTTTAGCCTTGAGCCTTGATGTTGATGCCATGAAATGGGTCATGGTTGAAGACAGAATTTGGGATTAGGGTAGGGAGAGGAAAAAGGCAGCAACTCTGTAGATTAATTCTCTTGTGGTCCTGCTGGGTCATCTGTGCTCTCCCATTATCTTGTAACCACCCTGGCTTTTCCAAACCCTCAGGGAGACCATCAAATGAAGAGGATGCTATCTTTAGAAGGGTTGAGTTTCTTGGAAGAAAATCTTAGATAATTATTAAATGATTCTTTTGACCATTGAGAATGTTATTTTTACTGATAAAAGACTCAATTTTCTGAAATGGATGAAAGTTCTCTCAAGATGATGCCCCATCTCCCAATAACACATTTTTGTCTTAAATTTTTTTAAACATTTATTTATTTTGGCAGGACAGGAGGAAGGTTGAGCCATGACATGCGGAGGTCAGAGGACAACTTATGGGAGTCAGTTTTCTCCTTCTACCATGTGGGACTTGGGGATCAAAGTCAGGTCATCAGGTTTAGAATCCAAATCCAGCAAGCCATCTCACCAACCCAATTCTCCCTTCTCTTTAATGTGTTCTGAAATAGCCATGGTGAGCTTTATTGCTGCAGCCTCTGGCTTTCTGGATGGAAGCAAAGTCCTTCTTTCTTCTGGACTTCCATGGCTCTGTGTCCTTTCCTCCATAGCCCTGGGTGTGGGGATATTCAGGGATGGCCTGTTACCATTTTTCTGCACATAAGGACATTTCTTTCCTATGTGAAAGTTATCAGACATTTATGAGAAATCTTGGCATGTGTGAGTTCATAATCATTGACTGTGTAAACCTTCAGTGTTTGTTTGTTTGTTTGTTTGTTTTACAAAAACTTCCGGGGAGGAATTGTCCTTTTTCTCTGAACAAGACTTGGCTGAGGTGTTCTGTATTAGCTGGAAAGCAAACTGATTTGTCTGAAAACCAATATACCTAAACCCCAAGCTTGGAGGTGCATCCTGCTGCTTGGCAGTGCTTCCCCCGGCCCCCATGTGGTTTCATCTACTTCTACCCTGGATTATTCCTAGGCTTCTGAATGAGTCTTATTCAAACTGACACCCAATTAGGCAGCACCGGGTCTGCCACACAGTGGGACTCCTTTTGTGTTTACCTGTCAATCTAATAGAAATCATCGGGATTCTATAACTCTGACTCCTCCTCTCTCCTACTTTGACAGGGACTCTCCGTCCAGTTCGCCGCAACTACTACGACCCATCCTCAGCACCTGGGAAGGGCGTGGTGTGGGAGTGGGAGAATGACAATGGTTCTTGGACGCCCTATGACATGGACGTCGGCATCACCATTCAGCATGCCTATGAGAAGCAGCACCCGTGGATCGACCTCACTTCCATTGGCTTCAGCTACATTATAGACTTTAGCACCATGGGCCAGATCAATAGGCAGACCCAGCGCCAGCGCCGCGTCCGCCGCCGGCTAGACCTCATCTACCCCATGGTCACCGGCACTATGCCAAAGGCTCAGTCCTGGCCGGTCAGTCCTGGAACAGCCACCTCCCCGCCTGCACCACCCTGCTCCTGTCCACAGTGCGTTTTGGTGATGAGCGTCAAGGCTGCTGTGGTCCATGGCGGCACCGGGCCCCTTCAACAGCCTTCAGCAACACGCAAGAACACACCCCCCTCTGGAGTGGGCAAGATGCCCCCGCCGCTTGGACCTGGGGCAAAGCCGCTAGACACTGCAGGCACCATCCGCGCCCCAGGGAAGACAGCCCCATCGCAGGTGATCCGGAGACAAGTCTCGAACACACCATCTGGGGCGACTGTAGGCTCCCCCACCAGCCCACAAGGAAGCAACAGGAAGACTGGAAGGGTTGCCCTGGCCACTTTGAATCGGTCCAACCTGCAGCGACTGGCCATTGCCCAGTCCCGGGTGCTGATTGCCTCGGGGTAGGTGTTTCCATGGCTGCCACAGAGAACTTACCCACCTCAGAGACAGTGTGTGACTCACCCCTGGGTCAGACAGCAAGAGGCACTGGCCAAAACAGGCACACCTCATCTTCTTAGGCTGAGGTGCCCTGGAAGGTGGACAGGAGGGCTTTTACAATAGGGCACCGTGAGGTCTGGATCTAACTGAGGTTTTGCCTCTTACTTGCCATGTGGTCTGAAGCAAGAGCCACGCATGCCACTCTGAATTCATCGTTAGTGAGCACCACAGGCATGCAGGCATGCCCATGTTACTATCTCCACGAGGGGCACAGGTGATAATGCCAGAGAGTCTTAGGGAGGCTTTGTTCAGCTCACTGTGTTCTTGTTTGATGGTTTTATAATCTCATCTCTAATCTTTATAATGACTCTGGAAACATTATCCCATTTCACAGATGAAGAAAATCCAGTATGTTGTAGGAGTCTAGCCTTGTAAGTCCCCCTTCCCTAGCAGGCATACAATAGGTGCTAAGCAAGGTTCCTTCTTCCGTGCCCCATCTTAGCATTCTCACAACATGCTGGTCTGTTGGAAGTGCTGTTAGTGTTTCTTTGTTCTGATCCCCCTCATCCATCAAATGGGAATGCCCAGGACACTGCAGTGCCCATAGCAGCCTTTGCCTAACATGCTGGCTGCTTGTCATCCCATCACACCGACACACACTGCCTTCCCTTTCTCTCCAGAAGCCTGGCCCTGCTGCTGCCCTGTGCCTCAGATGGTTGAGATGGCTGTAGAGCTGGAATGAGTCCCTAGACTGAAAATCCAGGCTTCCCTGAGGCAATTCCATAGACATTCAGCTGGAGCTCAACATAGAGTCTTAGCATAGGGAAGGGAGATGGAAGATGTGCAGCTGAACGGAAGAACGCTGGGCTGGGACAGCCTTTAGTTCTGCCTCTCACTTGTGCAAGGGTCAGTGTCTCTGTGTATCAAATGATGATCCCAAGTTTATAAAACCTGCTCAGGGAATCATTGTGGAGTCCTCTCACTGACAGGGTTGACCCCTTGACAAGTCCCAGATGTGCTTGCCCGTATTATCCCATTATTTTCACTGATGTATTTTACACGTGGGCACTTGCCTCAGACTTATTTTGTCCGCTGTTCCATCACTGTTTTGGCTAAAGCCTCAATGAAGGTGAAGGCAAATTCTAATGCTAGTCAGAGGCCTGGGGTGCTCATGGCTTCCTCCATGGTGAAGTGTGGGATGGAGGAGAAGAGGTACCTGGATCCTGCTGCTGCTCTTCTCCAACTCCGGTGCTCTTACCTACTGAGTGACATTGTAATAGTACTTCAGTTCTAGGGTTGCCACATGGGTTAAATGAGGCCTCCAGTCTAGAGACCGCACAGAGTCCAGGGGGGGTTAGCTGCCAACAGTGATGATGATGATGATGGTAACCGCTATACACTTGTGTTGTTACTGAACTGGAATCAAAGCTGAGCACATCCAACTCACACCTCATTTCGATCCCCCTTGACAAATGTCCCAGTGACCCCATGCCATCACGGAGACAGATACCCCGAGATCAACTTGAACGGCAATAAGTCTGAGGAATTCAACAGGCTTCATTTGCTTTCTTTGTCCCCTACCACGCAGGAAAAAAGGAGGGCAGTCCAGACAGTGCAGTTTCAAAAGGGCTATAGAAATGAGTCGCTTTGCTCTGTTTTTCTGAAAGGGAGCCCCCTCCCACCTCTCTCTGTCTTCCTGCCCTTTCTTCTCACCTTTTTATGTCCCCCACACCCCATTGCCATCTTCTCTTCCAGTGTTTCTTGGCCGCTAATGAGCGTGTGTTATCCTCTTTGTCTGGCATTGCCGTCAACCTTCTGTCATTACACAGGCCTGTCCCCATCCTCTCTGCCCATGACCTCTTTAAGCAACTTTCCCACAGGAAAGAAAAAGAAAAAAGAAAAGAAGAAGAGGAAGATCAGGGAGGGCAGGCAATGTGGGATGAAGAGAAAGTCTTGGCAGGGAACAAAAGATGCAGTGAATTATTCAGAGACACAAGCAGGAGGTTCTGAAAAGTCGGGGGAGGTCTATGCAGGGCAGCAGTCACCCCTCTCCCCCCAGAGTCCAGGCTTGTGTACCTCCAGCCAGGCATGGTTGCTGGTTGCCTTAGAGACAAGGGCCATTGTCCTTCATGAGGCTTCCTGGGTTGGTAAATAACTCAGAAAACACTAGCCTTCTCGACGACATGGGGTCTGCAGGGATATCCCCCACACGCACACACCTCATTCAGCCCCCTTCCCCTCCACTGGGTCAGCTCCTCTCTCGCCTCAGTTTTATCAATGGAACTAAAAACTTGAACACCCCCATAAGTGGCAACAGCCTGAGAGGATGGGGGAAGGGCTGTCTTCTGATTGGCCAGTACATGGCTAGGTGCAAGGGCTTTGACTGAGTTGCCTGGGAGAGGGAGTGGTGATGTGAGAAGCAGGCCTGTTATTGGGCTGCTACTTCCTAGAAGGAGGGGCTCAGATAGCTGAGGCCCCAAGGGCAGAGGACAGGTTTTCTAGAGCTTTCATTTTAACCAGGAACTGTGGGGGAAGGTAGGCAGGTGTTGCCTGCTCTCAGTCCGCAATACTGCTGGGCTTTCAACTCTGCCCTCAATACCTGATACCCTGTGCTCAAGAATGTGAGAAAACTGGATTGTTAAAGCAGGAAGTGGAAGAAATCTAGTCCTCCAACAATTGGAAAATACAAAGTGTAAACAGTTGCCCAAATTTGCACAAATGCTCAGCTGTTTACCAACTGCTTGACCTAGATCCTACAGCCTCACGGGGACCCCAAGGGAGCAGACGCTTATCGAGTCTTGTTTACAGCTGGGGTAAAGGCAGGCAGATGTGATCACAGAACCCAGAGGCACTGGCCAGCCCTGCCAAAGGCCAAGCAGGCTGAGTGCAGATGGGACAGCCATTTTCCATTTCTCCCTCCATGTCTGGTGTCAGTGTTGCATAAAACACACAGCCCTGCACTCTTACTGAGCTCTACTGCTGCCCACAGACTAGGGACCAGATTGTGCCCTTCCTGACACACAGAGGCAGGTAGGCTTCACAGGTCGATCCCAAGGTCTCCTTAAGTGTTCAGGGGTTCCACAAACAGGTTTCCTCTATATCTCTAGACCACACACCCCCCACTTCACATTCCACAATTCTTGGGCTGCTTCGAAGATTGGAGTACTTCCTGGTTGACCAGATAGAGTGTGGAAACCTGCCAGTCCAGTTTTTGGAAACAAAGGTGGCCTTTGTCACTCAGGAGAGCACCAAAAGAGGCAGGTGCAGGACCGGGCTGCACTGTCGTCCCCTGGTGGGCAGCCAGGGGACGTCCCACAGGAGGCAGGGTCTTCTAGCCTCTTCAGGTAGAGTAGGGAGGTAGAGCTGCCCCGGAAGCGCTTCCCAGTCACCTTCCTCTCAAATAGTGTAATGGGAAATAAACCCAGACCCCAGGCTCAAGCAGTTGGCTGACTTCGTGTTAGTTGTAGTGTTTGGTCATTTCCGGAACCCCACATCAAGTCTGTTCCTCTTTCCTTGGTCTGGTGACTCTTGTTTTAGAGACAGCTTTCCCCTCCCCATATCCGGTCTTGTTTTATTCAAGGGGGAGGTTCAGAAAGAAAAGTAGCTTTTGGGTTGGCCAGATACGTAAACACCAAATCCTTTTATGTGCTTCACTGTTTCACAGAGGAACCACACCTTAATGGACCCGTGTGGGACAGAGAGACCTGGCTATTAGGCCTTTCTTCTGTTCTAATGGTGACTTTGTTTGTTGCAGCATGGTGCGATGCAAAGCTTGGCATCATGGGAGGCACAGTGAAAGGACTCTGGAGCCATATATTGTGTGTTGGACTCTTAATTGCAATCTTGGTCGGGTTGGCCGAACCTCTGTGTGTCCCAACTTTGTTACTTATGCTGTGAGATTGACAGTAGTACCTCTTGCGCAGATTGTTGGAGGACTGAGTGGAGTTTTCTGTTGTGAGCAGTTAGGATTGCCCCTAGCCAGATAGGAGCTCTGTGAATCATAGCCTATAGAGGAAGAGCCTTTGGGTGTCATGCTCACAGCCGCATCTCCAGCATTAAGCATAATTGTCCCAAAGTATGGTTCAATGAGTTCTTTTCAAATAGAGAAATAAATAAATATTGCTTTCATCCTTCTGACTTCCCAGCACAGCCTGACCCCAGCTGGATTCTCAGGCTTCCTGGCTCCCAGGGGCATCTGTCAGCAGGCCCACTGGCTTCTCCAAGCCAGCTGTGGAAGCCTGGGTGGCAGAGGGGAATGCCACAAGACCCATCTCTACGTATCCTGTATTTTTTCTGTTGATGCTTTCTCCGTGGGCGGCCTGGCCTTTCCCAGGCAGCTGTGTGGGCTCCTCTCCAGAGCTAAGGAGGACAGGGAGGGGAGAAGACTTGCTTGTGTTTATAAGTTTCTGAGACAAGGAGAAGTGACAGCTGTTCAGGCAGTGGTTTCCAAATGCTGGACAAGAGATTGCAACATATTCACCCTCTGAGGAGCTGGGGGGGGGGGGAAGAATGCAGATTCCTGTGGTACATGGATTTGGGGGGAAGGATGGGACTCTGATCTCGGCTGAAGATCTGCTGTGTTGTAGCCAACACTAAGGAAGTATAGGTGGAAATGGGCAGTGACTTGGAAGAACACTTTAGGTAGAAGAAGCATTTATAAAGGCACTCAGGCAGAAACATGATGGGCAGGAAGGGGGACCAGCAAGAACAGAGAGTAAAGATGTGATGAGAAGAGACTGGCAATAGGTTAAGGTAATTGAGGTGGAGGTACTGGCAGATAACACAGAGCTGGGGATGCTCTGCTTTAACCCTGGGGATAATGGACCCATTCTGCATTCTCAGGTCCTGGGGGGTGGGAGGCAGGGCTCATGATCTGAGTTCAGTTTAAACCTCTCACCCACCTCCCACTGGTATGTTAAGAACCTAATGCATTTTGGTAGGTTTGAACACTGGCTCATTCTATTTGTCAACATCATAATCCATCTGCCCTTTCCTTCCACAGGGTCCCCACTGTGCCTGTGAAAAACTTGAATGGGTCCAGCCCTGTCAATCCTGCCTTAGCAGGTAAGAGCTAACTAACCTGGCCTGGGCTGGCTTAGGCAAAAATAAATAAATAAATAAAAATAAAAAATAAGATAAAATCAGAATCAAGGAATAGCTAGTGACCACTAATTTATAAAGAGGAGAGAATTTAGATGCTAACTGAAGAAAATGATGTCTTAGGAGTGGAACAGGAAAACTTGGGCATGGTGCCAAAAGCTGCGCATGCCAGGGGTCTTGGGGAATAGCTCATCTAACAAAGTGTTTGACTGGCAAGCATGAGGACATTCGTTCTATTCCAGAATCCCTGATTAATTAAAAAAAGAGAGGCAGGTTCTTGGAGTTCGCTGGCCACCAGTTTCCCAGGGAGGTACAGGCCCATGATACCTTGTCCCAAAAACAAGGTGACCATCCCCTCCAGGGTTGAAGGTAACAGCATGGAAGAGGGGGTGAGAAGCATGGAAGATGTGGAAGACAGGGAGAATGGTGTAAATTCTACCTTCTCAGTGTAACACAGTTCAGTCGTGATCTTACACTAGCTGTGGCTGCCTACATGGGGCCTCCATAAGCATGGATTGCGGAGGGCCTCAGAGGGCCCTGCACATCCCTATTGCATCCCTATTGAACTAGTAGCTGATCATAGGTTCTGAGAGAGGGGAGAGTCGTTAACCTTCAGTTATGCCCACCGTGCGCTAATGGTCACACAGAAGTCCCTGGCCAAAATCAGTGGGTCACAAAACAAACAAACAAAAGACGTGATTGTGGGACAGAGACTTGTTCCTGAAAGGAAAGGAGATGAGCGCGGGGGCTAGAACAAAAGCACAATTAATTAATTTTCTTTTTAAGTGAGGTGCTTGGCTTCTGAAGAACACCTTGCAAAGCTCTCTTCTGCCCTTCACACACCCACACGCCCAAGCATGCAACTGCGTATGTGTGCCTAGAGAATGCATGAATTATGAAAACTGTCCACTGGGGAGAAGGAGAGTGGGTGAATGGGAGGAAGGGTGTGGGGAATCTCGGGAGCACATTCCTTAGCCCTTCCTCACCCCTGCCCTGCCCCTTCCAGGAATCACCGGGATCCTCATGAGTGCGGCGGGATTGCCTGTGTGCCTCACTCGGCCGCCAAAGTTGGTCCTCCACCCACCCCCTGTCAGCAAGAGTGAAATAAAGTCCATCCCAGGGGTCTCTAACACAAGCCGCAAGACCACCAAAAAACAGGCCAAGAAAGGTACAACAGGCTGCTTCTTCTGATTAGACACCTAGAGCAGAAAACTCCGCTTCCAGCCCTGGCTCTGCCTGCACCAAGGTCAAAGCCATGGTTCAGCCCCTGTGCTGTCAGTTATGCATCTGCTGAGTGGGCCTCTCGCTAGTAGATTTTGATGACTTTTCCAAAGTGGGTTGGGTATAGGTCAGAAGGAACTGCCCAGAGGCATGCAGAGCAACAATAGCAGAGACATAAAAATACTGAATGTTGTACTAAGACAGAACGTTAGAAGAGAAACATAATTTTGGCGTCAGAACAGGAACACTGAGCCAAGTGTTTCTTGATTCAGTCAACCAGCTACCTTTGTCGCTAGCTGGTTGGGTGGAACTTCTGCCTTGTCTTCGTAAAGGCCGCAACGAGCAGGTGTATCCCAGAATGTACCCCATGGCAACTGGCAAGTAACTACTGTCTTTTGTACCTCAGAAGCTTCTGACCTTTGGTGCCATGAACCTTCCTTCACAAATCACTGTGTAACTATCCATCATCTAGCTAATAAGGGCAAGGGCGCCTTTTTTGACCCCAGAGTTTCTGGGTTGCTGCTGTTGGTTATGGAATACTCTGCTTCTCCTCCTAAGCCTTTGTCTTACAAGCCTCTTGTGAAGGTTGAGTCCGAATGGCAGTGAACGGCATTCAGCCCAGGGCCTGGCAATAGGTAATAGGCTGTCATTAATAGAAGCCTGATTCTTTCAAGAGAAGCAGGGCAGTGGGATGGAAGGGCCTGCATCTCAGCTCTTGACTGTTGTCTGCAAAACTTCCGCAAACCCCTGTCCTACTTTCCCAGTCTGTTTGAATGTCTCTGCTTCAGTGAACTCACGTGCCTTGTTCTTAGTCCAATAGGTCAGGACAGGGGTTTACACTTCTGCCCTCTTCCTGGTACTATTAATAGCACACACTGCCTCCTTATCTGGCAGAGTGCTATCGGGCTGTGCATCCATCAGCTCGTTGATCGTCAAAGCACCCACTGTGCAGGTACTGCCAACCTTCCCTATTTTATGGGTGAGAAAACAGATTGGAGAAGTTAGGGGTGTGGCCTGAGATCCCACGGATCTCTCCTCTATGGCTTCTTATAAACCCGTGTGATTCTCTCCTCTGCCTTCAGCTTAGCTTACTTCCCCCAAACCCAGCTCCTGAAGATACTTAATCCCCGTGACTCTTCCTCTGCTTCCCTGGGCCTTACCCTTTCCCCACTGCAGAGCTGTGCCTGCTGGCAGCAACAGCAGTGTCTGAAGCCAGAGAGGATTGTCCTGAAACTGGGGGTCACAACTTCCTGCTTTCCCATAAAAATAATTTGACTGTGACACCATGTTACAGAACTAAGACAGGGCTTTACGAGTTGTAAAAGGAATGCAGCCCAACTGACTAGTGGTTGTGGAGCCATGCAAAGCATTTTCATTTCTGTTTCCTCAAGGGATCACATGGGCAAGTCTAGGCTCTTTGATTGTCAGGAAGAGAAAATTCATCTCAGTCAAAATGCAGATTTGCTGAAATAGACAGACATGTCGGGGAGTGGGCAGGAAGAAGTCCAGGTAGACAGAACATTCCATCCTTCCTCAAGCCACTTTGACTGATCTGGGACAACCTCCAATCTCATTCTTGCTCCTTAAACCAATGCAAAAATAATTTGGCTTCCTTTTCTCGTGTGTGTGTGTTTGTGTGTGTGTGTGTGTGTGTGTGTGTGTGTGTGTTTGCATGCATGCATGTGGAGACCAAAGGCCAACCTTAATTATCATTTCTTAGGTGCCATCTCCCTTGATTTTTGAGACAGGGTCTCTTATTTGCTTGGGGCTTACCAGTTGGGCGAGACTGGCTGTCAGCAAACCTCGGAGATCTGCCTGTCTCCCCCTCCACATCTGGAGCTACAAGCATGGTCCACTACACCGGTTTCTGGGGATCAAACTTGGGCCCTTATTTTTACAAAGCAAGCACTTCATTGGCTTAGCTGTCTCCCACCCCTTTTTCTCTTTGAACTTGCCCCTCACTCTCCTCTCTGAAGCACCTAGAACAGCAAGGTCACTTGATCCCATCTCCTCTGCTTTGGTAACCTAGTGACCCTCCTGTTCCCATAGGTAAAACCCCAGAGGAAGTGCTGAAGAAGTACCTGCAGAAGGTCAGGCACCCCCCGGAAGAGGTGAGTTCAGGGGGGTTGGGGCAGGGTTCACTTCCTCCATCACCAAGCGCATGTCCTCTGTCCCCGTGTTCTGCAGGACGTGGCAGGCGCTGCTCTTTTAAGTCCTGGCTGGCACAGAGCAGGTTTAGTTGATGTTTGTGTCAAGGTTTAAGGTTCTGAGCCGCAGTCATGGTTTGACTTGCCCCATTTAGCAGGATTCTAAATGATTCTAAGCTACCTGCCATGCCAGTATGCCCAGCCATGCGAACTGCCTTTAGAATGGATTTGATATGGACCAGTGATTCTCAACTGAAATGATTTGCCCCTGAGGGAACATGTGACCTTGTGTGGGGACTCTCTGGGTTGTGGCAGCTGACTAAGGAGTGTGCCGCTAGCATACAGTGGGTAGAACCCAGAGAAATTCCTGAGCATCCTATGAAGTCTGGAACAATACCCACAGCAGAGAATTATCCCACCCCAGTGCTAACAGTGCCCATGGTGGGAAATAGGCCATAGAGTAATGCATTTGAAATACAATACCTCTACAGAAGCACAGCATAAGCAAAGCTTGTCATGGTATCTGTTGACAAGCCTCGGAAGACACTAAGCCAGGACAGTATCGCGTCAAGAGTATAATGTCGTCAGTAAGTCCAAGTTAGCATGTATGGGGATCATTTAAGGAATTTCTCTGCTGTGCAAAACAAGACAACACTATATTTAGAATCCTCCCCCCCCCAAACACAGCACCCCTGATTTGTGGGCTTTCTAGAAGAGGGATGAACCACTGTCTGATGCCTGCCTGGGCTGGGAGAGAGCTGATGCCACTCTGTTCTTCATCTGACAGGACTGTACCATCTGTATGGAGCGTCTCACGGCCCCCTCTGGCTACAAGGGCCCACAGCCTACAGTCAAGCCTGACCTGGTAGGAAAGCTGTCGAGGTGTGGCCACATCTACCACATCTACTGCTTGGTGGCCATGTACAACAATGGGAACAAGGTTAGTGTTAGCGGCGGGATTGAGGGGGTTCAGTCATGGTTTGTTCCTGAGTGTCCCTGTTCTCCCACAGATGGCTTGGGACACATGGCAGGCTCTCCAGGTGTGCTAGCTACTTTATTTACTGCTATGACAAAATACTGGCAAAGGCTTCACAGTTTAAGACAGTTTGTCGTGGCGAGGAAGGCGTGGTGGTGGGAGGAGTTTGAAGTGACTGGCTATGTTTATACACAGTTAGGAAGCAGAGAGTCATGAACGCTGGTGCTCATGTTTGCCGTTGTAATTTAGTTAGGATGTCAGCCCATAGAATGGAGCTGCTCACATATGGACTGCCACAGCCCAGTCTAGAAAGTCTCTCACAGGCATGCCCAGAAGTGTGTTTCCATGGAAAATCTAAATCCCACCGGGCTGACAATCAGGATGAATCCTCACACCAGGGCAGCAGGGATGAGCTTCTGTACTGTTTATATCTTTGCTGTTTTTGGATTAATTAGCGCCCACATTACAAAAATCTGTCTTCATTTTCTTTTGGGGCCAAGCTTCCCTTCATCTCTACCTTGGGTCTGTATGGGGGTATAGCAGAGATGAGCTTTGCCCATGAAGGTTCTGGGGGAAATGACCCAGCACTGAGTGAAGTGGGTTCCCAGCAGTGAAGGAGGCCTTCATCACAACGATGAGCATTTGTTTATTCACGACACAGTAAATGGGCACCCAGTAGCTTTTGTTCTTCATGTCAGCAGTTTAAGTTGAAATAAATCTTCTCTGGACAATGTCAAAACACGTTTCTTTTGGTTTTGTTTTCTTGTTTGTTTTGTTTTTTGAGACAGGATTTCTCTGTGTAGCCTTGGCTCTCCTGATCTTGCTTTGTAGACCAGGCTGTCCTTGAACTCATAGAGGCCCTCCTGCCTCTGCCTTTCAGAGTGCTAGGATTATAGGCGTGTATCACTGCCTCCGCATCTGGCTTGTCAAAACACCTTTGATTGTCCCTGCAAAGGCGTTGCCAAATATACCTGATAATTCCTGCCATAGCATCTACTTTTGGAGGATGAGAAAATGTCTCTATTGACATAGGGTGATGGCCACAATTACAGTTGGTTTCAGAAATCTGGGAGTCTTCCTAAGCAAGCTGCTTCCCGTCTGCACCATCCTTCCAGACCAATGGCTACTTCACAGAGTATTATGACTGTTACTATTCAAAAGGCTAGCTCCTTTTTAACTGCGGCTCTGAGTTCTCCCTTTCATTTTCACATAGCCAGTAGGGTGGAAGTGCTAACCTCGGCATCTTCCACATGCCTTTCATCACTGGTGAAAGACTGTGTTCTTTCATAGCCCAGGTCTGGACCTTACCTTTTTCAGAGGTTATTTGGAGTTTTTGAAGTGTCTTAGCACATTTGTTCCCCTTCAGATGACTCTTTTCAAGACTGCCCAGTAACTCCGTGTGTATGTCTGCAGGGCTCCAGACATGTTTCCCAAGCCACTCTCCGCTGTTCTCCTTTTCAGCAGTCCTTTGAGTAGCATCTCTATTCTCTTGAGCACATTGAAGAAACACTTGGGAGAGAATGGACTCACTCGCCCTAGGTCTTGAAGCAAATTAACGCTAGTTGCAGAAAGCAGGACCCTGGTTTCAGAAAGCAGTGACCATGAACGCAAGCTGTTATTTAAAGTGAACGAAGCGTGGATGGAATCATGCCTGAATAGCTCTGAGAGGATCTCATCTCCGTCCCAAAGACTCCCGCCGCTGTATGCCGGGCCATTGGTCCTAACAGAGCAGCATCACAGTTTACGAACATACTTGCTGCCCGTGCATGCTCCCCTTTCCTTTTCTGTGAACCTGAGCATTACCTTTGCTGTCTGGTGACCTCCTGCAGGTTCTTGTCACCAGCTGACACTTCACCAGGTCCTGCTGCAAAACTACAAGCTTTTACGTTACTGTCTCTGCAACCCACCTTCATGTCGGTTTTCATGGCTGTGGCAAAAGGCATGAGAAAACAGAAAGGAAAAAGGAGTGTTTTTTTGTTTGTTTGTTTGTTTGTTTGTTTTTCTTCTTGACTCATCCTTTCAGGGGTTTAGTCTGTGGTTCGCAGACTCCTTTGCTGTGGGTTTACGATGAGGTAAATCATGGCAAGAAGCACACGGGATGTGAACGGAGGAGGCACACCACCGATCGTGTCTCACGTGGCCTCTGCCTGCGTCCTCCTTTCCCACTCCCTCCCTCTGTCTTCTTCTCCTTCCCTTCCTGGCTTCCCTTCACACCTCCTGGCTGCCTTCAGATCACTACACCAGTAGCTCAATCTACCAAGGAGGTTCGAGTCCTCATTAGCCACAAAAGCTCATCCGCGGGCAGCAGAGCCTTGAATCCACGAGCCTTGGGGGACAGCTCCAATTCAAACCTGTAATGGCCTGCTATGGGGTGCAGGGCAGACTGGGGAGATCTGGGACTTTGCTGGAATTCCAGCCCTCCATGATGGCAAGTCCTTCAGTCTTTAGCTCCCTCAGCTCCCTTTCCCTGAAAAGGGGCCTCTCCGTTCCTTCCCAACTAAAGCCAATTTATAGCTTTATAATTTATGAAGCATCTTCTTAAAGTCGCTTTTGTTCTTTTCCAACACCTTCGCCTCTCCACAGATATCATAAGCACGCTAATATCATTTAGATATGACCTGTGCTAAACACATCCTCTATGTCTCTCATGTAACTTTCATTAGCCCAATAAAAGAGGAGGATTATATTTCTTGTTCAACAAGGAAACAAAGATGGGTTAACTGGTTCACGGCTATGAGGCAGGGCTGAGACTCAAATCTAGACAGCTTTCCTTAGAGTTCACACTCAGAACCTCTTAGTTCTTAGGCTCCCAGTTCTCACTCAGCAGGCCTGATGTGGGGTCCAGACGTCTTTAATTTTAGAAAATGCCCTGGGTGAGTCTTGGGCTTAGCTGTTGCTCTTGAGCAGTGACTGGGCACACCATCATGTGGGTATTGGGTAAGTCACAATTTCCTCTGTAGATTTCCTGCCTTAGATTATTCTTCCCATCAAGGACAGAGGTGTCTCATCTTTGTGCCTCAGCACGGAACATGGGCTACTCCTGTCATTTTTTTTCTTCCTATTATTTTAGAGAAAGATGAAATGGCTTACATAGCTAGAGAGTGTTTGGGGGTCTGTTGTCCCTTTGGGTGAGTTTTGTCTCTCGAGACCTTTGTCTCTGGAACTTCAGTGGTATGAGGGGAAGCTCATGACCAAAACAGTTTCTTAATCTGTCTGTACCGCCCTTGTCTCCTCAGGATGGGAGTTTACAGTGTCCAACATGTAAGACCATTTATGGTGTCAAGACAGGTACCCAGCCTCCAGGGAAGATGGAGTACCATCTCATCCCCCACTCCTTGCCTGGCCATCCAGACTGCAAGACCATCCGGATCATCTACAGTATCCCCCCTGGCATTCAGGTGAGCCCGCCCCCCCACCCCCGATGATTCCCCTCAGGATTTCAACTTTGAGTGTGGGTAAAATGTTGCACTAGGAAAAGCCTCCTTCCCATCCTTATCCCCATCCTGTGTCTCACTCCCCCCGTGCCCCCCACTACCATTGTTCTTTTTTCTCTGTGTCTGTCCCGCATTCTTTGTACATACTCAGTGGAGGCTGCATCCTCCCCTCCCGTTTTTACACAAAGAGCCACATTTAGGCACATTGTTTCCACGCTCTGCATTTTTCAGCTAACAATCTGGAGCTTAGATATTTTTTTCTCTGTTAATAGAGAATGTCCCGGTTCTTTCTTACGTCTGCATGCATAGTTTGATTCAGCTGTCTGTTCAGATCACTTGTAATCCTTTGCTACAGCAGATAATGTTAGCACTCGGAACCTGGCACACCCGTGACCATGTCTGTAGCATAATTTCCTGGAAGTAGAATTTCTTGGCCAAACAGTTGTTTGTGTTTTAAAAAAAAAATTTGATGGTTACACTTGGCTTTGTCTTTGGTGGAATTTCTTTCCCCTCTGGGTTTTGGAAGACAGTCAGCCGAATGTGAATAATAATTCCATGAGTAAAGGCAATGTAGCCTTTCCCTCATACAGTAGAGCCTTTTCTAGGTGTTCTAGGGTGCACACCAGATTCATCCCTTGGCAAACATTGGTTAGTTCACTCTCTTTCACTCCTGCCTACGTCTTCCTGCTTGTCTTTTGTCTGACAAATGTTTGCATGTGGGTTATGCCCGGGTATGTGTTAGGCACTAGTGAAGTAGTGTTTAAATTGCTTCAGTCTTTGATCCCAGAAGTCCCCATTGTTGTGTGGCCAGGAATATGATAAAATGAACAAGTAAATAGACAAAGTACTTGCATATAATGGCAAGTTATGAGGCAATAAAGCAGAAAAGTGTGATAGTTCATAAAACGTAAGTCTCCTTCCCTGGGATGCTTGGTAAGCAGGCAGAGCCAGACAGATAGCTCTCATGACTTAACCTGGAGACAGAGACGGGCATGCCCCACTGATGAAAGTTACACAAAGGGACTCACAGGGCTTCACAGTCTTATGACCCTGGGTTCCCCGTCCTGGCTGTCTTCAAGGTGCCTGCTTCCTCCTAGCTTTATTATTTTTCCCCCTTCATCCGTACTGCTGGGATTTTGCTAGGCAGAGGGCCAATGGGTAGGACGGAGAATCCATCTGTGCACATCTCAGGGCCCACTACCTAGGTGCTCAGGACCTTGCTTCCTGCGATCTGATTGGCTGAGCTGTTGAGGTGAGGAGGAGGTGCTATGTGCGGGCTGTCTGGAAGGTGGGAGGAGACTTTCTGGTGCAGGACACTCCGGTGAAGCCCTGAGAGAAATGCAGAGTACATAGTTAGCTGGAGGAGGCAACAGCTGCGGAGAAAAATTGCAGTTTAAGGACAGTAGGATGTATTCAGGGAGCTTGGGGGCTGAGACTTGCAAAAGGCATGGAGGAAGGGAACATGGTGAGGATACAGGGGACAGGTACCAGAAGGCCTTGAGGGCCAGGGCCAGGGATGGGGACTTTGCTTAGGCTATGGAGATTAGGCCATGAAGATTGCTTGTCTGACTAAGACTATAAAACATCGTGTAACTGCCAATATGCGTTAGGAGGCCAATGTGACTTAAGAACGGGAAATGAGTGGGAATAAGACCCCTGTAGCATTTCAGGCTCCTGAATGAGGGGAGGGCCAGCGCAAGAAATAAGATGTGGTTGGCTGTTGCTCAGGAGAGACTTATGGAATGATTCTGGGGCAATTGGCTGGGGCGATAGGGAAGAGTGAAAATGTGGGAGTAGGCTGGCAAGAGGGCTCGCTGCCAGTCCTGGCAACTGAGAAATAATCCTGATAAACCGAGTTCAATCCCTGATACCCACATAATGGAGGAAACAACTGAGCCCTGCAAGTTGTCCTCTGATCTCCAGATATCATGTACCATGATTCTCTCTCTCTCTCTCTCTCTCTCTCTCTCTTTCTCTTTCTCTCCACATTTTTTTAAAATAAAAAGTCTAGCATGTGTCACAGTAGAACCAGACATCCAGGTGGGGGCATCCATTGAGAGGAAGGCCACATTTTTAAGCCTCCAGAGTTAAGGAACAGAGAGAGCCCTTGTCAGTGTGTGCTGAGGAGGTCAATGCTGCCTGTGCAGCGCCCCAGCATCTCCAGTAACACCCTGGCTTGTGAAGAGGAAATACATCTGTAAATAGTCAGGTGCTTTGCAGACTCACTACTGTGAGTCAGTAGCAAGCTGTTCAGTGTTGTGTCCCCTGAAGCTCCAGGGACCACGTGGGCCTGGGCTTCGGTGAGGAGCTGAGACCTTCAAGCTCCACTTTCACTGCAGAGAGTGAGTCCCCGAGGGAGAAGCTCTGGGCCAGACTGAGGCAGAGTCGTGACTGCTCTACCTGGCAACAGGCCCAGAACGCACAGCCTTGCTGGGCTAGTGCCAGACGGGCTGAGCTGGACACACAGCCAGCAGCCCAGGGCATCAGAGAAGCATTTGATGGACCCTCAGTGGGGAGGCCTGGCTTAGGGAAGTGCAGCCATGGGAATGGTGTGCATTTGTAGAATCTGAATGTGAAGTTATAACTGTCAGATTCTTTTCCTCCCAGAGAACATCACTGCTAAAGCACACAGTGACATTTGCATGTCTTTTAACATTTTTTCTATGGTCAAAATATACCATATATATGTATAGAATTCTCAAAGAATAAATATAAAATATACTTGAAAAAATTTTAATATTTTTACTTTTTGACAATTTTATACATGTGTACACTGAGTTGGAACCTTTCAACTGTTTTTGTCCTCACTCCCCTCCCTCTCTCCTTCCAAAACACTTTCTCCCAACAATCCCTCTTTCTTTTTTTCTTTTGAGCCTATGAGTTTAATTTCATTAATTCACTTATTTGCTCAGTCGATACACAGCCTAGATGCATTTATTGATCGGTGGGAGAGCTTGTACCAACAGCTGCATAGACTTGTCAATATTATATGGCTTGCAGTGACAAAAGGCTTTAAACAAGGTTCAACTCCCAAGGGGTCAGGAATGTCCAGAAATTATAAACAAGCATTTATATGGATAGAAAGTTCTTATGTAAAACTTCATAAACTGCTCAAAGGAACCAAGGGACATGCTGGGGCCTGGGATAGCTCTGTCAACATGACACAATTTGGAATCACCCAAGAAGATAATCCCGGTGAGGGACTGTCTAGGTTAGGTGGTTTCATGGATGTGGTGGAGGAATTTTCTTGATTCCATTCATTGAGGTGGGAAGACCTGCCCACTGCGAGCATCATCATTCCCTAGGAACAGGTCTGTAGTGTGTAAGAGTGGAGAGAGGGAGTCTGTTGGACATAAATCACTGTTCTCTTGACTGTGGATGTAATGTTACTGTCTGCTTCAAGATCCTGCTGTTTCGACTTTCCCACGAGGATGGACTGCAACCTGGAATCATGATCCAAATAAACCCCTTCTCCCTCAAGTTCTTTTGTTGGGGTATTTTGCCATAATAACAAGAAACGAGACTAAGACAGACACCAACGGGGAGGCCCGTATCTTGGGTTTTGTTTTTGTTGTTTCTTTGTTTGTTTGTTTGTTTGTTTCTATAACAGAACCTCTGAGATGCGTGATTTACAAAGAAAGGAGGTTAGCATGGTTCATGGTTCTAGAGGTCGGGATGCCCAGCAGTTCTGTCAGGTTGCACTGGGCAAGGATCTCCTGGTACATTGGCTCATGACAGCAAGCAGCCATGCAGTTGTGTTCAGAAGAGGGAGAAAACAGAGCCGCCAGGCTTTGTAAGCAACATGCTTCCAGAACAACGAATCCAGCCCCTTGAGAGCAAGACGAGAACTCTCAGAAAGCACTCATTCCTTCCGAGAGCCATGTCGCCTCTTACGTGCTCCAGCTGCCCATAAGGCTGCCATGGATGCCAGATTCCAGCAAGAGTTTCGGAGGAAACAAACAATACCCAGTTCCCCAGCATCTGGGCTCTGACTCAGCTCTGCTCTGATGTCTTTCCCACTCAGTGTCCTGAGGCCGCTTGTGTAATAGCGCATGCTGCGATGATAGCTCCAGTGTCACCAGATTTCCTGTCCCGAACATTGTGGTCTATGCTGTTGGATAAGGAAGCAAAGCCCACAAAGGCAAAGGAGAAAATCCACAAGGACCACGCGGAGAACTTCATTATTCCGAGCAGCTGGTTTAAAAGCCCAGCACACGTGCCTCAGGAAACCTGAGCTTAAGTTAGTTTTGGCAAAGCCAGTCACATTTTGCAGCCAGTTAGCTTCTGTGAGCTGTACTTTTCATCATTCATAAAACATTAGAATGTTGGTACTGTGATAATAAAGTTTACTGAGCTCTTCCTGAATACGGGCGCTAAGCTCATCCCATAAAGTAAGTATTTCAAATCACTCTTACCAAAGAGGGGAATTCCATACAGTCCAGCAGGGAGCTAGCAGCTGTGGTCCAAACTCAGGTCCAAACATAGACTAAATTTTTCTTTTTCTTTCTTTTTTTTTTTTATTTTTCTTTTTTTGATTTGTCCTCTGTCTGAACTCTGTGGCTCTTGTTATTGTCCCACTGAGCCTGTACGAACTTCTCATCAGAAATGTTTTGCGAGATGCCTTTGTTTTCTTTCTGCTTTCAGGGACCAGAACACCCGAATCCCGGGAAGAGCTTCAGTGCCCGTGGCTTCCCACGCCATTGCTACCTTCCAGACAGCGAGAAAGGGAGAAAAGTAAGAGCAGATGTTCTGTAGTAGGGATAGGGCACTTCATTTTTGTTTCTGCAACTCACAGACCAGAGAGAACTGGTTTCTTTTGACTTTGTGTATATGCAATAACAGGTCATATTTGAGTCAACCATGGGTAAGAATGGATATCATTACCATGTTGTTTTGTTCGATATTTTTTTTTCAGCGAAGCGTGCATGTGTGCATGTGAGTGTTCCTGTTTGTGTGTGTACAGTGTGTGCCTGTGTGTGTGTGTGTGTGTGTGTGTGTGTGTGTGAATGCACATTACATGTGTATGATACCTGTGGGATTACAAGCATTTGTGTGCCTCAGTATGTGTATGGAAGCCCCAAGGACAGCCTCCAAGGGTCAGCTCTCACTTTCTGTTTTGAGGCAAGGCCCCTTGTTTCTTGCTGCTGCCTTGCCTACCCCAGGATAGCTTGCCTGAGGGCCTCCACTTCCCACCTCCCCACAGGAGTGCTGGGATTACAGCTGTGCCCCCGCTGCATGGAATTTTTAACATGGGGATCTGAATTCAGGTTATCAGGCTGGCAGAGCTGGTTCTTTCACCAACTGAGCCATCTCACCAGCCTGATTAGAATGTTTTTGCAGGTGGTTGGGAGTGGAAAGGCTTTTTTTTTCCCCTCCTCAGAATAATACTGGCAATAGTTTATGTGTTTTAGGATCCTTATCTAGAGCCCTGGTGTTTAAAGCTGATCCTGGGGAAAGACCAGTGTTAACTCCTAAAAGCTTGATAAAAACTCAGAACTGGAACACCTATCACCTTCTTAGGATCCCAGGTTGATCTGCTCTGAACACACACCAAAGCATGAGCAGAATGTTCTGGGATCTTAGTTGGTGGGAGATCATTTTATTGGTTTTCTGGATTCTTTGTGATTCATGATCAGGGTTCTCAATAGTCTAATTGGAACGATGGAGTTTGCAGAATCTTGCCTGATGTCAAGAGTGCTAAAAAAAAAAAAATCCCCACTATTCTCAGGGAAGTGTTGGGGAATGCAAGAGGCTTTTAATCAGCTTCCTTTCCAGAACGTAGACTCTTACTCAACAAATGTCTGTCTTTCTGTATCGAGTGGCTATGTTGCTGTGGTGGGTCAAAGCTCAAGCATAGGTGAGCATATTTGAGTTGTTCTGACACACTACCACAGAAAGTAGAAAGAGTGACTCATAAATAGCAGGTCTTTATTTCTCACAGCTAGGAGGCCCATGATCAAGGTGCTGGCAGAGTCAGAATGTGGCAAGGATTCAGTGCCTGCTCATAGACAAAGCCTCTTCTCTGTGTGTCCTCATGAGGGAGAAAGGGCAAGAATTCTCTTCCCGCCCTCCTCTTTTGAGCCTGTTAATCTCATTCATTGACATTCATTCTCATGACCTAATAAGCCCCAGAAAGTTCAGTATTCTAATACTCATCTTGGAGGTGGTGGTGAGAAGGTCCCATGAACTTAGGGGTGTACAGGCATTCACCCCCAGACTCCCCATGTGTCTCTCTGCTTTGGAAGCCAGGCTAAAGTGTTTACAAGAAACCTAAATGAGACCTCTTAGGGTGGTCCTAAGGGGCATCTGAGAGGATTGCAATTGATAAGAAAAACTCTAGACCACAGGAATACAGGAAGGTAGGGAAACTTCACGGTAAACAAAATTAACAGTTTGAGGTTCCCAGAAAATAGGAAAATATTCCTACCCAAGGTCATATATATCCAGCCCTTAAGCCTGGCTTATTACTGTTTTAACATTCTTATTGGAAATATTTCAGTCTAACAGAAATAGCTCCATGTCAACGACCTGACACACAATGTTAATTGTGCTGGAATTTTTGATTCTCAGCTGGCCAGAGGTTTCAAGCAGACAAGTAGGAGCTTCCATTCCCTCCCCGTAACTCATAATATGCTCTATATTTCTGTCCTGTTTCAATGTCAACGGGAGTGGTTCTATTCTGTCCTTCCAAGGAGAAAGAGGATAGTTTGTAACAAAGAACCAGTAATATCAAGAAAGATGCAGTATCCCAAGAGTCAGAATTGAGGCAGGCAACTGTTTTCCAGCAAGAAACAAATTTCTGTGTCTCACTCCAAGGTCTCCAGATAAATGTCTCCACTGGAAAGCCTGCTGTTAAGACTGCAACCATGGTGCGGTTGGTAAAACACTTGCCCAGCACTTGTCGCCAAACTCCTTACACATGCCTGAAATGCCAGCACTGGTGTACGGGGTCACCCTTTGCTACTCTGAGGCCAGGCTGGGATATAGGAGAAGTTCTCAGACAAGCACAAGGCTATGCTCGCCTTGCTGAGGGCTACTCTCCTTCTAGACCTTCCTCTTTATTGAAAGGCAGACAAACCCCACGTCCTTGCTGGGTCACACTTTTAGTTCTTCCACTTACCAATGACGGTTCAGTGAGAGGCCTTGTCTCAAAACAAAATGGCCAGCGTCCACTCCAGTAAACCACACAGCTTCACCGAGTTAGCTTCACCGAGTGCCCTCCAAATGCCTACACATACAGTTGTGTGTACCCAGACACATACACATGCACACAACCCTTGTGTGGGTGATACCAGTGCCATAAATAAACAGAACTCAGAAAGACATTTGAAGTGGTTGGAAGCTATGCAGGTATTCAGTGACAGAGCCGAGATTCGATCTATAACGCTCAGAGTCCAATTTCAAATCTTTCTCTTCTGGGTTGCTTAGAGCGTCTCGACTAAAGAAGGGTTGGGAGCATTGGGGAACAGCTCCACCGTCTGACGATTGGTGTGTGACCAATACTGAACAACTTTCTGTGGTCTCTCACCCCGGTTGCCCTAGGTTCTGAAGTTGCTTCTAGTGGCCTGGGATCGCCGTCTCATCTTTGCCATTGGAACCTCCAGTACCACGGGCGAGTCTGATACTGTCATCTGGAATGAGGTGCATCACAAGACAGAGTTTGGCTCTAATCTCACTGGCCATGGCTACCCAGATGCCAATTACCTGGATAATGTGCTGGCTGAACTAGCTGCCCAGGGTATCTCTGAAGACAGCACTGCCCAGGAAAAAGACTGAGGTGGGAGGGTACTGGGGACCACAGAGAAGGAAGCGGAGAGAGTCCAGGTTGATACCTTACCTCCTGACTCCCTCATTCCACTTCTTTGTACTTGCCCCACCTCTCATCCCTCTCAGCCACAGAGGGAGCTAAATTAAGGTGATGTCATTCATAAACTTCATCCAATGCAAATGGGACGTGGGATGAGGGCCACCTTCTTTCTGTCCCCCTGGAGTTGTCAGCACTAGGTAGGCAAGAACCTGCACCTCTCCCCACGCTAAGTAGGGGGTATGGTCAGCACACATGACATATGGGCCGCGGTGGGTCACTCCACTCCCTGGCCTTGTGAAGCCGAGATCGCTCACCTCGGCTGGCTTCTTGCTGCTTCCGCTCTGTTTTGAGAGCAGAGTGTCTGCTTTTCTTTTCCTTCACCGGCGTCAGGGAGCTCTCACTGTGCAAGACTGGGGAGAGGTGGGTGACCTGCTGCAACCTCAGAAAATGGCTGCCTGGCCGTAGAGTAAGGAAGCAGTTCATGCTAAGACGGACGGCGTCGAAGCCTCCGGGAGCTTGTTCAGCTCTCGTTATATATAGTCCCTGGCTTATCTAGGCCCTCTCGTCCTGCTCCCACTGTTGACCTGTCCTGTAGGCATCTGGTTCTTTCGAGTGGATGGAAGGACTCAGGGATTCCTCTCTGGGGTGGCATCCTATGATGCTGTTCCAACGCCTCTCTGATCAAATCAGAGCCTGCATCCCTCTGAGCATCTGCACTATCCTCAGGGAGAGGAGCCCATAGCCTTTTCCCCAACTCATCTCAAACCAGCCCAGTCTCATCAAGTCACTGTGAGTTGGAGCCCACGCTGGGCTCTTTGTCATCCATGTATGTGCATATGTTTGTGTGGGTGAATGCTCTTTACTGGGCCAAGCTGTTGGGAGAGCCCCATCATGTGTCTGAATCCTTTCTCACATGCCAAATCCCAGTGCTGTTGGGAACCCGACAGTAAAGGGTTAGCCCTTCACTCTTCCCACCCTTTGCCAGCCCATCTCACGGTAAACTTGGACCCTGATAGATACAGACTGTACTTGGGAAGATGTGTTGATACACGAGCTAGATTGACCTCTCTCTTTCTTATTAATGTTAGATCCAAGCCAGCCTCCATCCACGCTTGTTTATATGAGAGCTCACTGTCCGCAGATTTGCTATTGAACCCCTTTCTCCAGCCCCCATTGAGGGCAGGCTGACCAAATGCATGGTGGCGAAAACCTCTTCAGTTCATTCCTAACAGTCAGGAACACATTCTGGGCCTCTTTAGCCTGCATCTGGGGAGGTGTCCCAAAATCCAGTCTATCCCCAACATCTCCTCACCTATGGCTCCATTAAAGAATGGATTAGGTAAGTATCAAGTAAGAGAGAATGAAGAATCAAGAAGGGCCAATTTTCCCTGTGGAAGTGGGTCCTTTCACCTGTGTGTCTGGGGAAAGTTCCTCTGGATACTAATTTGAATTTATATACCATGTTTTGAGGGTTTCAAACACACACACACACACACACACACACACACACACACAAAGTTCATAAGATTTGAAAAGTTTTAATGCTTGGGAAAAGAGAGAGAGAAAGAAATAAAACAATCTTCCACAATGGTACTTAAGTTAGAACTGGAGTCCACACTTTCATGACACCCTGCCCGGAGGTGCCTCCTGTTGGGCCACCAGCATTATTGATATCATTGTTGTGGCCAGTTGAATCACCCAAGTGTCCCCACCCCAGTCCCTTTTACTCTGCAAACGGCTAATGGAACTTTAATCACCTCCCACTAGAGGGAGCTGTGGAAGGAGAGAAGGCTCTGCCATCTTAGTCCAGCCCCTTCTATCAATGGGAGGCCATTTTGTCTCACTCAGACTGCGGAGTTCACTGCCCCTTGGGGAAAACTCCTGCTACAGTAGAGAAAGAAGCTTCAGGACTAGATAGAAGGCACATATGCACAGAATTTAAAGTCACGCCCATGCCTTTTATCAGGTTTCCTCATGTCAGAGATTGAGGGCTTATAATCATAATCATTTTTACCCTTTGTTCTCTTGTTACCTACCTGCCATACCTCTTGGCAACAGGGAGGAGAAGATAGACTGGGAGTCCGTGGGTAGGGAAATGAAGCCATGGGAAATGAGGAAATGAAAACAGGCTCTGAGACGTGGAAATGGCCAGCGGGGGATGTTTTCATGAAGCAGAGGCGGTATGAGCAGAAAAGGGGTAGCAAAGGCAGAAGGAAGAAGACATCTAAGGGAGGGATTGTTCTAGGAGAAATACCATTTTGAGGGTTAGTCCTCATGCCTTCTAACATTTCCCCAGAGGACTTTGAAATGCCTGTGCCTCACTTCCCTCTTCTTTGAGGATGCTCAGAGGGGCCACTTTCCCCTCGTGCTTCACTCCTTCAATTTTCTGGTCTGATAGAACCTTGGAACTCTCAACAGTGTTTCAGTCAGTCAAAACAATGGTGACTATCTTGCTCTTTCTCTTGTGCTAACCCAAAATGTTACAGAATTGGTTCCAATGAGATTAGGCCCTGGGGACCAACTACTTTGACCCAGAGAGTTTTTCCAAGAGAAGCTCTGATGTGCTCTCCTTGACCAAGCAGGGGACCCCATGCTTTTTCTTTCACCTTCTCAGCACCAGCAGCCATGTTCTCCCTCCCTGAGACTCCGGGGATGACAAATGGGATTGGAGACACACCTTGTGAGATGCTGATCCCTCGGAAAGCTATGTGCTGTACCTGTGGTTGTCTGTGCCTTTGTGTTTTCATTCCCCTTCTCCCTTTTGTAAGATTCTCTGTGATTTTATACTTGGTCAAAAGTACTTGTCCTGGTATCACAGTGCTGTGTGCATGAGAGGATTGGGAGGAGGCTGGCGTGGCTCAAGAAAGAACCATTCCCCATTTGCTTGTTGGTGGTCACTTATATGTCAGTGGGGGTTTCTGGGAGAGGGCTGGTGGATGTCCAGGTGTCAGGTGTTGTGTTTGTAACTGCTGTGATTTGAAGTTCCTGGTGTTGTTCTGTGGGAGGACATCGCCCCCTGGTGCTCATGAGGTGTATGTGCAGAACAATAAACTGCAAATGAACAAGCACAGACTGTTGTTCCTCCTGAGGGCCTGCTTTTGTAGAAGTGCTTTGGCACGTGTCTCAGAGGCATGTGGGTTACTTCCGCTATCTGTGGGTAACCTCAGTCCAGCTAGCTAGCTAAAGGGACGCTCCCCTTTTCTTTATTTTCTAAAGATTTCCATATCTCTTCTACCCGCACGTTTGACCTGGCTTGACTCTGGGTTCCTCCCCAAGAGACAGACCACATAGCAAGGGGGAAATGAGTGTGTGAACTTGGGGACAAAAGGTTATCTTGAAAAACACGGACATTGACTTCTTGCATTGTGGGGGTGATGCATGTGCGTGTGATGCCTTACATGTCAGGGGATGAAAGAGAATCGGGGTACATATGTGTGAGAGGATGCGTGTGGGGGGGGTGAGCGTGTGTGTGAAGATCTAATGGTCTTTGTACATGCATACTGAGGCCAAAGGTTGACATCAAGTATCTTCCACTACTCTCCGCCACCTTATCCTTCAAAGCAGGTCTTCTCAATGAACCTGAAAATGATCGTTTTGGCTAGGAGAGGCTGATGAACCAATGAGCCCCAAGAGCCCCTGGTCCCTTCCTGCTGCTGCTGCTGGGGTTATGGGTTCATGCCACTGTGCATGCTTTTACATGTTTGCTGGGGATGTGTACTCAGATTCTCACGCGTAAGTAGCAAGCACTTTACTGAGCCATCTCCTCAGCCCTGAACGCTGACCACTTAGAGGTCCCTTCACTTTCAGGCAGTTTTTTTCCCAAGTAAATATTTATTATGAAGCATCCCACTAAGTATAGGAACACAAGAACAAGAAGCAAGTGTCCAGCTTCTTTGTTAACAAACTGTCTCCCTCTCTCATACCTCATAGAGTGTGGCTTTCTCAGAAACCAGCCCTGGTCTTTCGGCAGACCTCAGTCTTAGAAAGTCGGAACTCGGCAGAGCCCAGGAGCCCCACCCAGTGCTTAGCTGTGCGCCTGGGGTGTGAACTGGAAACCCTTATATTCTACCTTCATACAGATGAACACCAGACAGAACGTTGATGAGTACACTCTTTAATGCATATCTACACACATTTTTGTTGTTGTTGTTAGTAGAGTTACATGTTTATGGAAGAAATGTTAAAAAACTTCAACAGGAAGCTTGTGCATAAAAGGTCTGAGAGTTTTCTGCTGTACCTTGCTTTGCAGACTCAGTGATCCTTAAAGAATTTATAGAGGGAAGCCAGTATTTTCAGAAAGCTGATTGGCTTGGATGAAACATTTTAAAAAAATAAAAACAAACAAACAAACAAACAAAAAAACCAAACCCACAGAGTACACAGAGGTTAAGGAGAACATTTTAATGCTCAAGAGGCAGGTTTGGTGGACAGGTTATGCAGCCAGCAGCCCCATGGCTGAGAGTTAGGAGGGCAGAGTTCAAATTCAGCTATTCACCAAGCTGTATCTTAGATAGAAACAAATGAATAACGTCCGCCTATTCCCCTTGAAGCTCTTCAGGTGGGCCTACTGTGTGCATGAACCCCTGATTGGAAACATTAAGGAGAGAACACATCATCTTTCATAGAAGATAGCTCACTGATGATGTGCTGTGGTGAATGGATACATGATTGCTAAAGAATCGGTGGAGGGATTTCCATGTTGCAGAGAATTAAATCAGATATTAAAATGGAGAGGAACCCCGAGTATTGCCAGGTGTGTCAATCATGCACCCTGACAGATCCCCCTGGAAGCCACCAGGGGACTGAAATACATGTTACGGATGGTTCTGGGTGCCTTTTCCCGTTAACGCAACGACTTACGTTTTTGTGGGTTTTGTTGTTGTTTTGGTTTTGGTTTGGTTTTCATTTTAGTCACACGAGCCCTCTTCCTAAGCAGTGTAAAAAAGCAAAACCTAAAGGGCTAGAAGACGGCACTTCCTTTAGTTTTAGGAAGGAAGGAGTACTTAATGAGAGGCTTGTTTTAACTTTTTTGTTTTTTTTTTTACCCGAGGAAAAATAAAAGCTTCGTGTTTGAATGTTGAGGGGTGTTCATGTGGATCTATCTGCACCCACACTTGTGCTGGACAGGAAGGATAAAGGTCACCCACAGAGAGTCAGGGGTTATATTTTAAACAGAGGAGCATAACACCGTAATTTTGATCTATCCGAAATACAGCTCCATTTGGTTCCTCGCTTATTCAATGCTTCTTGGAACACTGGCCTCGTCTTTAGAACCCCAGTTTTTACCCTCAATTTATTACTTGTTTCCCTACTGTTCCTTCATCCTTCACCCCACCATAGAAAATTATAAGTTCAAATATTTTCTGAGGGCTTGTTAACATTGTTCACACTGACCTAGAGTAAGTTAAGTCCCAGCTCTGGGGGAAGTTGGGAAGTGGAATTTGTGAAAGCCTCGACTTTCTTCTCACATGCTTGGGAAATGACTCAGAGAAGATGCTATAAATCAGCACTGAGTCCTTTACAGCTAAAGAGTAATGTCCATGAAGACCTTCTGTGGCATTTCAGGGTCACGTTTGTCTCTAGGTTTGTGAATCCCAAAGAGCATCTTTAAAAACTCAGTGGAAGAAATAACATACTTACAGCACAGACCTCTTCAGCTCCCAAGCTAGAAAGCCTTTCGAATTCAGACTAAATGCACAATCTCCAAATCCAGTCTCTCCACACCTCCTCTTTTCATGCACACGGATTCAGGTCAAGACACCATGAGAATGGACACACACACTCCTCCATGGCTTGGTCCCACTGCAGCTTTTCCGCATGAGTCATTCCCCTCCCTAAACCTTGTTCAAACAGCCCCTTTAATTTCCTGGTACAGAGGCTTAAACAAGTCCCACGGTTGTAATGCCTGCTTTCCATTGCAACTGGCCCTTTGGTACTTAGGAAGGCAGAAGCAGAGAAAACCCAGTGAAAGCTGTGCTTGAAGCTGTGGCTGGAAATGACAGAAGTCATTTCCTTTGGAGACAGTTAAGCTGGACTTGGATCCTGTTCTCCGTCAGGGGCTGATGCATCTTTTGCTAAACTTCCAACCAGGCTCTCTCGCTCCTCGATTGCTCGGTATTCTTTCTTCTTGTTCTTCCGAACACCATAGATGGCCAGGGCAATGGCAACCCCTAATGCAATCATGACTCCCAAAGTGATTCCAGCAGCTTGCCCTCCTGACATGCCACTACTGTCCCCGTGGATGACTGTCATGGCTCTGTGAAGCTCCGCAGGATCTCCCAGCTTCCACTGGTTGGTCTGGGGATCCTTAATCCAGGATCTGGCTGTCTCACTGCTGGTCACTATGACAGTGTTGGTGGCAACTTGGCTTATGAGGGGTGGCTTGGTGTAAGGTGGGAGCCTGACAGGAAGCAGGGACCCTCCTGTAAAGATCCCAGCCTTGACACAGTAAGACACCTGGCACCCATCACTGATAACAGCCAGGTGTTGGCTGAAGCCCCCAGGACACTTTTTCAGAGATGGTGCTCCTATGTCTTTGGATGTTTCAGAAGCAACCAAGGGGTTCCCCATTATACAGCTGAAGAACCCACCAAAGGGAACTGAAAACCTGTACCCCAACTCATAATCCAAAGAAACACATACCTTGAGGTTTTCAAACAGATTCAGTGGGATGCATCCAGCTGGGCATGACTGTGCATTTGTCATAGGGTTGATGCTCTTGTCAGTGAAGACTCCCCCAAAGAGAAGTCCTGAGTTTTCAGGTACTTGGCCAGTGGCTGCACACCAATAAGCCCTAAATTCAGCTTTGGCCACTCGGAACACATCTTCACACACTGTCTTACAGAAGATCTTGAGGGTGCATTTCTTTTTACATTCCAGACGACTGTAACCCTCCTCGTGGGTCTGAGACAGCAAATGGACAGAGGTGTAGCCAGAGGGACAAGAGAAATCACCAGTGAGCAGATTCCTCTGCTCCAGGGTGTGGCAAAGGGCATCCCCTGACAGTTCAGTGCATTCCTGATAAACTCCACCAAAAGTGAAGTTGGTTACTTTCTCGTCACAGGAGCCATCGTCCATATTGGCTTGAAAATTGAAGTTGGGGGAGTCGACATTTGTGCAGCCAGGGTGGGTGTTGAAAGTGTAATAGTGTTTCACAGCAGTTTCTACTGTCTTGGACAGCTTCTTCACCAAGGGGGCGGGCAAGCCAAGCAGCTTGTCAGGCTTGATGAAGAAGTGCAGAGGCAGGCCAGCGCGGTCTATTGCCACCAGGTGGTTAGTGATGCCCTTCTGCCAGGTTTCTAAGGTGATGCCTGGGTAGAACGGAGTGCCTCCAATGCTCTGCACCCTGGAGTTGGTTCTGTTAGTAAGATAACTCTTGGTCAAAGTGTTGTGGGTGATGTGGTCTTCCTCAAGTTTGAAGTTCACGATGTTTAAGAAGGCAATCCCAGCAGAGGCAGTCACAGTGCTCTGGCTATTCTGGTTGTCCAGGAGGTAAGAGGACCTGATGTGATCCTCCTGGACCAGGGCAGCCCCAGCATCTACACTAGTGATTACATGTGTGCCGTAGTTGAGGACCAAGAGTTCTGCCAGGTAGGTGGCCATCTTCGTCTGGTTTTTCTCTAGTTGGTCACAGATTTCCATAAGTGCGTTTATAAACCCCAAGCTGAGTTCTGAAGTTGGACTGCTTTTGACCGTGTAGATCCGGTTTCTAACCTGAACCCTAGTAGTTACAGCTTGGTCCTTTACTTGAAGTGTCTTCATCCTTTGGAACTCAGTGGAGAATTTGCCGTTGACTTTGGAGAAAAGGGAGAGCTCTGCATTAATGGAAAATGAAGTGGTGCTCTCGTAATTCACCCAGGATTCCAGGATTTCTGAGTTCATCTCCAGGTTGCTCTCCTTCTGAGGAACAGTGAAGACCTCATCGGGGATGATGTACTGTCCATCTTCTGTGGTCTTACAGTTGGTGTATGTCAGTTTCAACACCCGTCCCATGTCTATATTCCTCAGGTTATCCCAACCTCCTCCTGGTAGGACCTCCAAGACAGGTAGTTTCAAGGCATCCTTACATATTTGAAATCTAGTCTTATCCGTCTCTCCAAGAGGCTTGTCTACTTCAGCATGTGCTATCATGGTCCAGATAAGGACCATGGCTATGAAGCTGTTCATGGTGCAGACAGTTGCAGCCATATTCCAGCCCCAAGCATTCACCAACAAGTCTGGGGCAAAGAGAAAGAGGGGAAAGAAAGCAGATGCTGAAACAGAAATGTCTACAGTTCTCCTAAAACCACCAGTTCCTCTTTATGCTGCTCTAATCACAAAATAGAGAAATGAAATCTGGTTGGAATATTGAGAGCTTTAGGTCCTTGTAAAACTTATTCTACACTGGATATGCAGACATACACTGTAGCAATCATTCCCCTGTATCCTCCACCCTGCCTTTCTTCTGTTGCTGAAGTGGTGGGTACCCAATAAAAGCATGGATTCAACACCTTACCTCTTCTCTATCAGAAGGCTTTGGTCTGGCTTTTCGTTCACTCTGACCGATTTCAAAATCTGCCTGACTATTCTCTTGGGGAGTCAAGTTACTAGTTTCATTTTACTGGAAAGGCAGGAGTTAGCAGCAACTTTGTGCTCATTTGCATACCCCGCCCCCCCCATTAGGCAGGTTACTCTGTGCCAAGGACAAATCTTAGATATCTCATTGGCACTCTGAACGTCGGGGGCTGTCGTCTGAGAACTACAGGGTAAAGAATCTCAGACACATGTTTTGTGAAGTTTCATTGTTACAAACTTTTTTTTTTTTTCAAACTCTTACAGTCTTGGTTTGGAGATGGAGTTTTCTGGGGCTGAACTCAACAGTGTTCCATTTGCCGTATGCTGGGAAACCTTAGCCTGGATTGTCCTGAGCACACAGGGTGAGGGTGAGGGCTCCCACACTGCGCTGTTTTTCTCTTCTCAGATAGAAATATTCGAGAAGAGAAAAGGCCCCGTTATAAATTTTAATTTACTCAAAGCATACAGTGACCCAGGAGCGCATGTGCGCACTTTTGCCTCCCCTGAGAGCGCCATCTTAAACTAATCAGCAACTGACCGTACCTTTAACTTTCCCATTACTGAGTATAGGTAATCGGCACAGACGCATAAAAAGGGAAGCTGTCTCTTATTACTCAGGTTAAAAGTATTAAAGTTCATTTCTTACATTGCCAGGAAAACATCATCTTATGAGTGGTTGTTTTTTTTTTCCCCCTTGGCGCCCCCACCCCCCTTCTTTTCGGCAGGCAGTGATACTAGCTCCTTTAGATCTGTAATTTAGGGAGGTGTGTTTTGTTCCAGTAATCAAGTGTCATGATTAAGGGAGGCTTGGATGAATTACAGGGTTGGAACAATTGAAGTGGTCTTGGTACATTTCGCTGGCAGCCTGGGACTCTGTAACCGAAAACAGATCTTCACGTGACGTTCTCTTAACAGCCCAGATCTTTCTGTGAGCAAGATGCACACCTAAGAGTTTAAAAGCAGAATCACGTTTCAGCCACAGGTTAGGGCTGTCAGCTGTGTACAGGCTGTGAGGGTCCCAAGGAACTGAGTTCTCTCAGGCTGCCTGCCATTGAGACAGCAGAGGAACAAGCCTGCTGTCCACAGACTGAGTTTCCCTAGTCACTATTCAGGCCACAGTGGTATTCTGTAAATCCAGAAAGGCCTCACTGTAGGGCCGTTCATGCCACGGTGATTAGGGAAACTGACTCACACCAGCCTCCAAGGAGGAATGAATTTGTGTACAATGGCCAAGCTATACTAAGTTAGAGAAGCCAGCCCAGGCACTGCAGAGAGTGCTCTAATTCATATGCCATCAGGGCTAAACATTTATACCTCGAGAGAGAGAAAGCCCAGAGTTAAGAGGCTCTGTTGAACACCCAATAACTCAGTACTCGAAATACCTCAGTATTTGCACTCATCTTTCTTAACTGGTTTGTGCACAGTCATTTGAAGACAGGGTAGCAATTTCTCCTTGTTCTCTCTTTTCTAGATCCTGCTGAGGGCTGGGGATGTGGTTCTGTGGGTGCAGTGTTCATTGTGCAAGTTTGGCTCCTCAGAGCACGCCTAAAATGGGCACCTAGCAGTGCATGCCTAAGTCCCCAGTGCTGGAGGGTCCAAGAGCCTGCCAGCTGGTGATTCTATTCAAGATGGTAAGCTTCAGGTTCAGCAAGAGACCCTGTCGAAGGAAGGAAGGAAGGAAGGAAGGAAGGAAGGAAGGAAGGAAGGAAGGAAGGAAGGAAGGAAGAAGGAAGAAGGAAAGTGGAGAAGAAATTCAGGAAAGATCCTGATGTCAACCTCTGGCCTCTACATGTGCCTGCATGGGTGAGCACATCAGCACATCCACCTATCACCCACACAAATGCACACACACACACACACACACACACACACACACACACACAGCGCGCGCGCGCGCGCGCGAGAGAGAGAGAGAGAGAGAGAGAGAACAGTAAAAATAAACAAGAGATCCTGTTGAGAACTTGACATCCTGAAGTGAGAGAAGACAGGCGAAGTAAGCATAAGACAATTCTAGATTCTAGTTCTAGTCTTTATAAATTGCGAAACCTTCTTTTGCTTTTTTTTTTCCTTTTTCCTTTTAGTAGTTTTCCACTCTACCATTACAAGAAATTGAAGAAATTATATGACAAAATATTCCACAGCCAATAATGAGGAATCACTGTGTTCTCATGATGTGTATTAACAACAACAGGCCTTCAACATGACCTTAGATATGGTCAAATATATAAAGTTAGAAGCTTCAACACCAACCCATTGACAGTGATTATTCTGGTCAATAGAGCTTACTGAATAAATTTTTTTTTTTGCGCTTAATTTTTCAGAGATTCTTTGATTTCCTTGCTTTGTCAACAATGAAAATGTCTTACCTATTTGAGTTGATTTTTTTTTTTTTTTTTTTTTTTTGCTGAGCATTTATTAAGTACCAAATAACAATGGGTATCGCTTTGTACTCAGTAAAATAATTATAAAAATTATAAAAATACATATTTGTGTTTTTAGATTTTATTTTTGAGATCATAATATAAATACAACATGTTTCCTTTCCCTTTCCTCCCTATAAACTGTCCCCTGTACATTTTCCCACTCTCCTTCAAGTTCGTGGTCTCTTTTTTCACCGATTGTTATTATAAGTGTGTATGTACATACGAATATGTCCCTAAATGTGACCTTCTCAGTCCATATAACGTTCCTTGTATGTATCCTTTCAGGACTCAGCCGTTCGCCGCTGACAAACGGATGTGCTCTTACTCCTTGTAAAGCATCACGTTGTTTTCGGCATTTTCCTGTGCCTGGGGCCGTTGAACACAAAGATTTTATGATTTCTTTGCTGAAGGGAAGTTCTCTTTTCAGCGGTTGGGAAACAATGAAAAGAGAAGTGAAAATGGTGAGGATTTAGGGCAGCACCGCCATTTGCATGCCAGGCCAGGAAGGTGGGGCACGGGAGGAACAGAGACGAGGACATTGGTGCAGGAGGTCGCTAGCACATCTCACCCCCGTTTTTCCTGTCTTACCCTTTCCAGCAATCTTCTCTGTTTTTCTCTTGTGCTGAAATACGCCTGCGAACACACATTCTCTCTAGCTCGCTCTGCTGAGGGAGGGAAGTGCCGGGGCTAACCACTGAACTCTGGCCTCCAGCACACAGAGGCGATTCTTCCACAAAAGGTGTACAGCTCGGGTGCTGAAAAGCAATTTCACTTCCTCCGAGGAGCCCCAGAGGGAAGTCGCACAAGCCTGCTCTCTTTCTCAGTCTGGACATGTGCTCCGCTTCTGACATGGTCACGAGGGGCGAAGCCCTGATTCATGTCTGAGGTTCACTTCTGTGTGGGCTTGGGCGCGTTCAGGTATTTCCAACATTCACACGTCACCAGAGATCTGAGAAGCCTTCATTAGCCGGCATCAGCCCATGCGGTATGTCAGGCGTCTAGGAGACCGTTGCTAAATGCAACCGAAAACCATGACTTTTGTAGGCCGTTTTTTGTTTGTTTGTTTGTTTGTTTGTTTGTTTTGTTTTAATGAAAATGGAGGACCTGAGTGACACAGCACAGCGGCAGTTCTTCATTTCTGAGCGGTTGCCTCTTAACCCTATATTGTGAGAGCTGCTTTGTCAACTCAGAAGAAATTCTTTGCCCCAAGATCGTCTACTGAAAAAGAAGAACTAAGTGTATTATGCTCCCTTTATTCTGAAGGATGAAAAAAACAAGAAGTATGGGGGCTGGAGAAATGGCTCAGAGGTTAAGAGTTCTGGCTGTTCTTCTACAGGTCCTAAGTTCAATTCCCAGCAACAACATGGTGACTCATATCCATCTATAACGTGATCTGGTGCCTTCTTCTGGCCTACAGACACCCACGCAGGCAAAATACTGTATAAATAATAAATAAGTCTTTTTTAAAAGCACATGGGAAATATTAAGTGAGTGCTATGTCAGAATTCGGCAGCCCCAGCCACTTTGTTCTTTTCCTGAGACAGGGTCTCACTGTCTAGCCTAGGCTAACCTGGAATTCTCCGTGTAGACCAGGCTGGACTTGAACACATGGGCCCCTACTATAGTAAAACAGAAGGAAACTATGATGTCTGTTGAAAGAAAAACACAACTCTCAATTCAAAGAGCATAGTTTGTTCTGGGTTCAAATATGAGTGACCTGGAAACAGATTCGGGTCACCCCAACACGGGGGAAGTTAAACACATTTTAACATGTTTTAAAAATGGGAACACCAAGGAGTGGGATGGAGGAAAGCTGCAAAGCCTCGGCTGTACGTCTCAGGGACAACCTGATAACATCCTTAGCCTTTGGGTTGGTGAATGTCAGGGGTTTGTTTCTCCATTCTAGAAAGGAATTTACCTGACAGCCACAAGGTTGAGGTCAGATTGGAGCTAGGCAGTAAATGTCTGTGATGGAGGCCAGAGTTAGCTCAAGACAATCTGGCTCAGGGTATGTAGCATCGCAGTGTGCAATGGGTGAAGTTGTGTCTTTGTTCTGGGAACTTCAATTCACTGAGGGTGGTTTTGGTAAAAATACCACATTTTCAATGAAAAGGCCAAATACAGTTGTGTGCCCCATGGCGCTTGCTAAGAAGGCTGATTCCCAGAAGCTGATAAAGAAGATTCTGAGTAGTCAGGAAGGCAGACTTCAAAGGAGAGAGAGAAAGAGTTGTTAAAACCGTTGAGGGAGAAACCTCTGGTCATAGCAAATCTCACCGTCACAATCCAAATTTGATTTTTTTTTCTTTTTTCTTTGTGTATCTAATGTAGCATTTGTATGTAACATATAATAGCTAATGATAAAATAGTTAAGAACACGGGATAGCCTAAAGCTATAAAGGCAGAAGAAAAAGTTTATTTTTAACCAATCAAAACCTTCTTTTTAAAAAAGACTTATTGGTTTATTTTTCTGTGCACTTGGGGGGGGCACCCTTAGTGTCAGGAAGAGAGTGATGGATGCCCTGACAGACAGATGTGCTGAGAACTGAACATGAATCTTGTGCAAGGCCACCAAGTACTCTTAGCCATGGAGCT